ATGTGTGTATGTGTGTGTGTGTATGTATGTGTGTGTGTGTGTGTGTGAACCTTGTAGCATTTTTCGTGTGATTCCGTTCACACTCGCTGTACAACACTTACCCCCCCCCCATACGATTCACCACCACCCCTTCCTACACGTGTGCAGTTGTAGAACCGGAGCACGTTGAAGAGGTGACGACCGTGTTCTTCCGGCTGCTGCAGGCCAAGATGTTTGCGCGCAAGGGCAAGTCCCAGAAGTACTCGCCCAAGTTCCAGCGCGCCCTCGTTCTCCGCTACTTGGCCGACTGCCGCACAGAGGACGGTGAGGGCTTTGTGCTCGATGCGTTCCTGCATCTGCTCGTGCTGCCGTTTGCGCAGTCGCCAACGCCACCCGTCTCCGTTGCGCCGGGCGCCGCTGTGGATGTGGACGCGCTGCTGGCGGAGTTCAACGTCGGCACAGACGTGCACGCAGCCGTTCCGCTCAACCGCCAAGTCGGTGCGTATCTTAAGCTGCTCGTGGTTGTGGTGGTGTGTTGTGTTTGTGTGAATGCGTGTGTGTGCACGTGTGTGTTTGTGTGAACATGTGTGTGTGTGTGTGTGTGTGTGGGGACGCGTGTATGCACTTGCATGCTTGTGCGTCCGCACTCGTCACGTTTGTTTCGTGCTGTGGTGAATTGTGTTGTCGTGCGACCATTCCTTAACCCTATGTTGCCCGTTGCCCTGATCTTCCCTTTCCACCACACTTCTCAACACCCCCCCACCCGTCACAGGTTTCCTGATGCTTGCCGAGTCGCTGCTGAAGGTGTTTGGCACGCGTCTGCAGCCGCACTTGCCGATGATGGTGGCCATCATGGTGCAGATGGCGCGCGAGGCCCACGCCCTGCTCGCCCGTCGTGATGGGGTCGCCCCGCGCTACATCCGTGAACTCAGGATGATCCGCAAGCTCAGCATCCGCCGCCTCTGCAGCCTCTACAACTTCTTCAACGCGGTGCGTGGCGTGTGTGTGTGTGTATGTATGTGTGTGTGTGCGTGTGTGTGTGTGTGTGTAATTTAGGAGGGTGCACCGGAATTGGAGACATGCACGTGCGTCAATCAACCACACACGTGCATGCGGATCATGTGTTCATCCGTCATTGCGCCTGCTCTGTCCTCCTTCCTACTGTGCACGTGTGCAGAAATTGCTGGAGCCGTTTGCGAGCGCGGTGCACGCGCACGTGATTGGGCCGCAGGTGGCGTCGCTGTATCACGAATGCTCAAACGCCGTCGTCCCCATCCCCAAGTCCTCATGTGAGCACACACCGCTGGGTGTTGATGAGGGCTACGCGGCTGGAGTTGTCATTGGGGGTGTGGTTTCGGCCTTGTTTGTTGTGTGTGTTTTGATTCGCCTCCCTCCCACTTTGCCTCACGCAACGTGGCAACATGCCCAAACATCCATGAATGCACAACCGTTCTCCCCTGCCCACTCCTGCTTGTGATCCCTCTCAATACTCCTGTCCTTCTGCAGCACGTGGAGCGAGGATCCGAAAATGCACCGCATGAACAACAACGGGACGATGGAGCGGTGGGACCAGCCCGAGGACATTCAAGAGCTGGCGAAATCGGTTCGTGCTCTGTGTACTGTCACGATGAGA